ATTATTATTATTATTATTATTATTATTATTATTATTATTATTATTATTATTATTATTATTATTATTATTATTATTATATTATTATTATTATTATTATTATTATTATTATTATTATTATTATTATTATTATTATTTATTTATTATTTATTATTATTATTATTATTATTATTATTATTATTATTATTATTATTATTATTATTATTATTATTATTATTATTATTATTATTATTATTATTATTATTATTATTATTATTACCACTATCACTGATTGATGCATATTACATTACGGTTATCCATTGCTATGCTTTGATACCTGATAATTTTTGTATTAGTTATTTATGAAAATATTGCATTAGAAATGAAATATTTTAAAAATCTATAATTTTCCAATAATTATATTCTAAATTTTTCCTAATTAATGCATTAATAGTTTTAATCGAAATGAAATGAAATGAAATGAAATGAAATGAAATGATTACAGTACCAGTTGAGAATGACGAAATGCTTGAAGTTATTGCTGTAATATATGAACAATCCAATTGTGTATACATATGTTCTGTTTCACTTTCAAGTGGTTCAATTACTTCCAAAGCATTTGTTGTACAATCATTTTGATCATTTTGTTGTACACAACGTAAATCAGATCTTATCGATGCTAATATTTTGCATATCGGTGGTGCTTGCTGATTTATAACATTGCTGAAATTATCCTTCAAATATTATTGATTCATCTTTCCCAATTTTTTCCTTTCTTTCTTTTTCTTTTTTTTTTTAAATCCCTTTCTTTAATCCACCCAATTTTCTAGAAATACTTAATATGTTGTCATGGAAGAATTAATTATCTTTACTTTTGTTAAGGAAGAAAAAAAAACAAAACTATCTTATTGATAAAATGATAAATTGAAAATGTTGAAGGGAACTGTTTATAGTAAAATGTTAAGAATTTATTATTTAATTGTTGAAATAATATTTTAATTTTATTTGTATCATATGCATTTAATTGAAAAATTTTTGCAAAAATATATGAAATAAAATAACATTTGATGCATTTGATTCAACATTATTTTATTTAATTTAAAATATAAATCAAAATATAGATTAAAAATTTTAGTTATTTTTTCACTTTTTTTAAATTATAAATTTAGTATTATATTTTATTTTAAAAATTCCATTCTTTTTCTCTTTTTGTTCAACTTTCTTCTAGCCAAAAAAAGAAAAAAAGAAATTATTAATTGTTTGAATTTTTAATTTTCTACTGTCAATTTATTCTTTATTTTCTTTGTCTCAATTTTTTTGTCTTCGAAAGTTTTAGAAAATCGAATTTGTTAGTTCCATTCATTTGATGACAATTTAGAAAAAAAAAAATCAAATAATCGATTTATATATATTTCGAATCTTTTCTGCACTTAGTGATAATAAGTTAATTTTTGATTTTAGAAATGCTAAATGAATAAATTACCAAAATACCAATAATACTATTATATCAGTGACATTTTTCTTTTTTCCTCTTTCTTCTTTTGCCAATAAAAAAAACGAGCAGAATATTTCATTCGTATTAGTGATTGAAATGATCAGATAAATATCGACAAACAAATTATTTCCATATGTTCATAAGAATGAGATTAAAATTTTGAAATGTAATTGAAATGTATTTCTGTTACATTTATGGCATTGATAGCTTCATAAAAACGATGTTTGAAATGAGTCATACAAATATTTGACCTTGAACTAGAATGAGAAGTAATTAAAATGAAATAATTTTGGGAATTTGAAATTTTATATTATTTCATTTACCTTCCGTATTTAATTACATTAATTTTCTTTTCCATTTTTTTCAAGTACATAAGTGCATTTTTTCTAACAATTTTTAAATTCAACAAATTCTGATTTGTTATCAGTTTATCATTTTTCACCATGTAGAATTGCGCCTTTTTTCCGTATCTCAAATGAAATTAAAATTTTTTTTGATACTGAAAATATATATATATATATGAACCTGTATTTAACTGCTTAAATTTTTTCCAAAACGAAAAAATTT